GTATAAATTCAAACGTTTAAAAAAGTAAGAAATAGTTTCCTACGCGTGTTGAAAGACGACGTAATCTAAAACAGCTTCTGATAGCTTAATGATGTACAAAGCGCGGTTGCTATACATGTCCCCATAATCTACGTCATCATAATCAAATTCGCCATGAAATGATGATGGAATTTCGCGCCTAAAGAAAGAATATTTCATTTCCAAACCATGGCGGGAAAGCACTCTCTTACACAGCGGATCTTGATCTTTTAATGATCAGTCACGCGGGGGGTGTGACTCGGGTTTAAAGATATTTCCTTGTGAGTTCTCTTGATAAAAAAGAAAAAAAAACCTTAGAGTTTAAAGAGTAAAGAATTTGCCGAGACATGGATGCAAAAGGGTGGACGTTTGTTTGATTTTAGCATCAGTGGAGTTTCGAAGGCGGTGTGAAGTGACAGCAAAAAGTTACTTAACCACGAGGCGATTTCAGAAACAACTTGCGAAAGTACGTTTTTCCTTTCGAAAGGAAATGGGATTGTATCAACGCTAAAAAGCTTCCTGATTGGCGAAACCAAGGGGCGATTACAAAAAACAAGGTAAATTACAAAATGATTACAGCTGCAGAGAATTCCCAATAATTGTTAGCCTTGATATCAAACAGAATGAAGTCGGGTCGGTTCCATTTAGCACCGATACGTTCATGTGATAATTACATCTCTAAGTTGGTATTTAATCATAGAGAACAAGTGTAACATTATCTGAATAGGTAAAGTACACGAGTCGATCTTAAGCCGATGTTAATAACTAATTCATTTGCTGTAGCGAAGCGGTATGCTTCGAATCTTCCTTCGATAGGTTTTTAGGATTCTTGTGGAAATTAGTTTAACGGTGGAAAACAATATATTAAGTCGATTAGTTAGATTTAATAATGATCAGAGCGGAAGGAGTGTCTCCTTCTGCAATGTTATCGCGCACCTTGCCTTAGCTTGTTTCGATAGGCCCTTTTTTCTCACTTCTTTACAGTCACACCCACGGCCTTAAAGATCAAAAAAGCGAAAACGTTCAAAAGTACCACGTAAGGAGTAACCCTTAAAAACTTGTACTACTTATACCGACTGCATGCCTTTTCTCTATTTATCATAATATTATGTCTCCGTATATACAAACATTTCTCAACGAATTTGGCAGTTGGAATTGAGATAAGCCCAGAAAACCTTGGCAAAGCAGAACCACCAACAAAATACGTTACCAAATCAATTAAACGTGATGGCAATATAGGGATAGTCTGTTGAACGAAGTTACTACCACTGAATAAAATACTGAATTATATGAGGTTTTTACCGCTAAAAAACCTTAGGATTATTTTCAAAAGACAAATGAAATCTCGGTAGCTTTACGCTGTGATCATTGCGGATAATGAAGCAGCTAACCAGCGGATGTGCAAAGCTTTAGACAAACACAGCTTACAAGATTTCATTTGTTGCATCCAACTGTTCATCGAGTCAATCTACGAAGAAATAATCAGGGTCTTTTCAATTTGAGAACTTCTCAAATGGTAATAAAATATGTCGTTATTGTTCATCGTGGTGTAAGATAGGAGATGAACTTTATTCGTTTGTCTCACGATGGAGTCACTTTGGATGTTGATCGCGACGTTTCGACTGCAATACTGCTAGTCTTCATCAGGTGATCAGGTCGATTGTTTACATGTCGCTATTCAGTTGTAGCACGTTGGTTGTTCGATCCTCGTTATTATTCCGGTGGTTAGATGGTGTTCCCTCACAGGTCCACATCAATGGGGTGTTGGTTCTAGGGCGTCTTTAGGTCGCACTTAGTGAGACCTAAGCGTTGTGTCAGACTTGAAAACGGTCCGTATGCCTTGATGTTGTAGGCAGCGGCGAAGAACCTTTACTGTTTGAAAACACCCTTCATATAAGGGAGAACAGCAGTAGATTTAAATTCCTACGCAGCTTCTTTGTAGGCTGTTACTCTTGTTTTCTATGCGAGTTTTCGCACAAACGAAAAAGGATAACCATTAGAAATAAATGCTGATTGTCACCTCAGAAGATTACTCAAGTGACTGAACGGACAATTCGAACGCACGCAGTGATCTTTATTAATTTTAGATGATAGCGCTAAGATGTAATTTTGCTTGATGGAAGTAGCGGTTGAGGTAGTGTGTGTTTGGTTCCAACTAAAAGAAAATGTAACAGAAACTAAACTAAGAAAAATGCGTTGCGAAATGTAACATTAACCTTACTAAAAATGAAGCGATCGCACGGAAAACTGAATACAAGAACTACACCAATAATACATACAAAAGGTAAACAACTTGAATGTTAAAGAAATAAAGATTTACTTTGGTCTAGCTCCTAACGGTAGCAAATAGCTTGTAGCGATTATCTAGCAGCGATGATTTTGTGGCGATGACTGAAATAGAATCTTTACACGTGTACTTAAATGGGAATTAATCGGATATTACAAACTTATTGTGTAATAATCATTAAAGACTTAATGATAGAAATGAACCGGAGCAAAAACGATAATAAAGTGTGTATTAACTAAGTGTTTCGAAACTAACACTGATGACAAGTGTTTCTTTTCCCCGGAGATAACTGACGGTTTCGTTTTGAGGTGTTTGGCTAGGTTGTATAGACATTTAACAATACCACGTTCCACTGACTGAGGATCATCAAGGGCTAGGCACTGGTTAGTGTGGATTGACTTTCTGTAGACAGTAGTGGTGAAAAGAACGTCTGAGGCCCTTATAACTGATGTGTCGAGAAAAGGAATGGTTTTATCTTTCTCGATTTCCATGGTGAAACGAATAGTAGGCTGTTGAATGTGAACGTTTATATGTTATATATAAAAAGCGAAAATTGTTTACGAATAACTGACCCTCGTAATAGCTATAGTTGCTCTTGACAGCAGCTAACGTTGATAAACAGCAATCTTTCTCGTTTACGAAGTCTTTTTGACTCACGGTGAAGAGCAGTTGGTATTCTCTTGTGAAGAGTTAGAATGGTGTTTGGGGGGGGGGACCGGAGGGGATATTAGTCGTCGTTAACAGAGTGTAAAAAGGGACTGTAGAAAATTGACAGCCAACTAACTACCAATGATTGGGAAAAAAACTTAGCCTCGAAAATAGTGTTGTATTTAATCGGATATTACAAGGGCAGTGACTGCAAATAGTTAGCAACATGACTTTCGCAGAATTTCTCACTACTTTAGAAGGAAACTCTGCACACGCTGGTTCTACAGACTTGGACTGTATACTTCATAATCCAACATTACACGTTCTGTTTTACGACCTAACTCACTCCCATCTTGTTTGAGTTACAAAAATGCTGTTTTCTTAACCAGGGATACACACACCCAGATACGTAAGTCCGGAGTGGTAAGATAATTTAAGCTAACTTGACAAAGTTCCAGTTTTGTTTTACACATTCTTCAATGATTCGTGGCCACTAATTTCCTGTTACATCGGCTTGCTCGACAATCATAGTGTTAATCTACGCATGCAGTTTTACAAGCAACTATTTGATTAAATATATCATTGTTTAATTTGTGAAGGCTCGATCACACGATGCCGGTTAATACTTCCTTTGACATTCCACAAATCGATGTTAGCGACAAGAAATAATAGCTTACTTAATCAACTACTAAATACCGAAACAGGAAAACTTTCTTATGAGCACGTGCAAACTTTTCACGACAATGACTGTCAAAAAGATCGAGGTTTAATAGGAAATTATTGTCCGCGCGTCGTTCTGGAATGCGAGCAAAATTTGTTTCCCATACTGGAATTATGCACAGGGGTATGGACTTCATCAGCTAATCATGCAGCTTTTTTTTAAACCTCAAAGCTGATAAGTCGCGCGCATAACAGAACGTGTAGTGTTGATTAGTGAAGAATTACGTCAGATTTGAGCGCAAGTACACAGTTCAAGATTGTTGAACTAGCACGCATGGATCTTCTCCCACAATCGGAGAATTTTGCAAAGATTTAGGATTTTTCATTCTCTCGCACAAGATAAGTACTCTTGGATAAAAACCATACAATTTCACGAGCTAACAATTTGTTCATAAGTAATGAACGCGCGCCAACCCATGATGCACGTGGAAAGTTTGGTGAACCTGAAAACGGCGTAAGAGTTTATAAAGGCGTAGCCGTGAGCGGCTTACGATTTTTGAGCGCTCTGAGAAACTTCCCAAGAGCTTGAAAAAAGCACAGAAAAATGCTTTGTAAACTCTTCAACGCTTTACCCTAGATCTAAATCTTATGTAAATGAAACTCCCTATTCTACGCCTTTTCCTGAACAACCTTAAGCGTGCGCAGTGAGGGAAGGCGAAGCACACTTTTGACTGTGCAAATTTACCGCCTTGTTATGACACCTTTTGTTTCTGGATGGCTCTCCTGCTATCTCTCTGTTGAGTAATTAGGTCGAGTCTTCCTTTGAAACAAAATAAAAAATTCATCTTACACGTGTTTTAGTTTTTTCAAGACCAAAACGTATTCTTCCTCTCACTGAATTGGACTTCATACGGCTAAGCAACTGTATGAATTCCCGCGGAAACACGCTGTAACTAAAAACTTCTCACCAATGGATAAAAAAAATTGTCTGAGGACTAGTCTCATCAAATCGCTTGTTTACTTCTCGTTTATTTATTTTTTAGAGACACGCTGTGACTGAAACTGCTCACCAATTGATAAAAAGATTGTCTGAAGAATGGTCTCATTATTTCGCTTGTTTACTTCTCTTTTATTTATTTTTTCGGTTAGTTCTGCATTCTAGTGTTTTGTTATATGCACTGGAATTTTTCCGGTTCGTGCAATTTGTTCGTGACCTAGGTTAAATGTTCCCAGATCCAATAACATTCGTCAGTACTTAAATAAATTGACATGTACACGATAATCACGTAATCAAACAAGTTAAACTGATTGCGGTCGTATGGTTGCGGTAAAGAACAATAGAAGTAACACGATTTGAGTTGGCGTTTGTTTACCAACCACATATTTTTCTTATATAAGGCAAGGAAAGCTTGAGAGAAAGGCAAAGCAGACACTGCTTGAGTGGCGAGAAGATCATTCTGAAAAAGATACCGCGCCAACAGGAAAGGACAGGTGATAGCCAATCAACTGTTTTTAACATCACAGTGAATGAAATCCCTTCGCAACTTGTTGACTCACGTCTAACTTGAAAGAAATTCTTCAATATCACTGAGGTCGCATTCGAACTGACAATCACGTTAGGAAACGTTGCAAAGGCACAAAGATTTGGATCCTAGCCGCGCAACCAGAACATGTCTTCTCAAAGTTTGAAAGAGCAGACAACGAAGAGGTCATCTATTGGAGAGAAGTTTCATGCCAAATTAAGTAACGGGAATCAAGTGTTCCCTACCTTGACTGAGACAAACGAGGAACAGATACCCTATTCACAATTAACGTTTGGAGTGGACGAAACAAAATCCCCATGGTCAGATGCCGGAACGTCAGAAGAGCATCATGGAAGTATTGCATCAATACTTCCCCGAAAGCGACGAAGGTTTTTGAGCGCGTCAAACATGATGCGAATTCTAATTGCTGCAGCCCTAATCCTTTCCGTCGCCAATCTCTTCTTAACAGTTGCGCTCACCAGAAGAGAAGAGAAAGGTTGCACTTGCCAAAAAGACAGTGCCAAGGAGTTTAGTGGTAAGAATTATAAATTAGCTTAGGAAATCTTTGTGTAGTTAACGTTTAGTTATCCTTTTAGGTCTATGACAGACGCTATCATGAAAAAAATAATTAAGCCCCTGAGTTGTTAAAAGACAATATTGTTTTTTATCCAAACACTTCCAGGGGCGGCGCACGCAATTCCTGAGCTACTTAACGCACGGCAGTGTACTTCCATTGTTCCCGAATAATTTATCTTGTTCCTCATGCTGTGCAAGCTAATAAGTAAAATTGTTAGTTTTGTTTTCTTCTGGTCAAAGCTCGTTACTGAAAATATCAAATCTCTTTACATTTCGGTATTCATGGCAGTGTTCCAGTGGCGATAGATTATCCCCGGCCTCACCAATTTTCTCAACCAAATTGATTGTTTCATTAAGTTTAAGAGCGATAAACCTGTAATAACAGACTTATCAACCACTAAATCAAATTTTCCTCTCAATCATTTGCGGGTTTTTATTTTACTCGAAATAAACCGAGGTCTTCTTTAAGGTTACTATCGCGGAAATTGCGCACAATCGATTTTTACAACTAACAATTCATTCTCAAAGTTTCAGCTTTAAATGATATTAAAGCTCGATCAACTTAGTTTTATTTTTTCAACCTACGTGTTGTGAAAAAAAGCCCAACCTCGGTCAACTCGGTCAACTTCAAAGTAAAAAAAAGACTACTTGTGTCAGACATACAATCTTGATTTAAAATAATTGTGCCCAACAGTAGAAGGTTTTTTAGTATCACACGCTCACGGTTCTTCGAATTCTCACTTTTTTATTCCTTTCTTTCTTCAATTTCGAGTAAAATGAACCACTTATTAGGGGCTTCATCTTACACGGCTTAATGGTCCGGCATTTCGTAACCTCTAGATTGCAGAGTAAGTACACTTTCCCTCTGTTATTCAGCTTTTCATCTAGGATAGTTTTTCGAAAATTCAGACCAATGCAGAGATGTTAACTCTTGACGTAACAACCAAAAAACACAACTTATGCAAACATACTTATTTATGTGGGATGAGAGAGGCACGCTATTTTCGCAAACCAAATCAGACTCAGTTGACCACAGAAAATAGCACACAAATGCTTTCCTCTTGCTAACTGGTTAGCAAGGCCACCATTCTCATAAAGACTCGACCTTTGAAGGCCTTAGTTGGCAGATAAGGAGTTTAGTCCAACTTGTAATCTGTAATTAACAATGGTGATAGAAACTTGTTTAAATATTTGCTGTGTATCTTTCTGTGCACATGTAGGAATGCGAAGGCCCCTACATAGAACAAATAATCTAAGCAATTGTTTCTTTTGACGGACAATGGAATACACTTGAACTGCCACCTCCAACACACGTTAGTTTGTTAGCTGAGATTGGATCACGTACGAAACGGCGTTATGCAGATCTAAACATGGACGTTTCCTGCTGTCGAAATGCATGTGGAAAAAAGAAAATTCTCAGAAAAATAGCGAAGACCGAAATGTAGTTTAGCCTACATTACTTTATTTAAGAGTTCGCTGAAAGATTCTGTCATGAGTTTGGTTGCTCTGATCAATATTGGAAAATTTCTATGCATACATAAACATCTTAAACATTTGGGCAGAAATAGCCTTGCTCAACAGGAATGGAATGTTGTTTTGATACTTTCTAGTAGAATGAGAGTTCATGAAGGTAACCTAAAATGCAGTTTTTTTTTATTATGAGATTTGAACATCACAGCTACAGTTCTAGGCATGCCAAATCATTTTAAACGTAATGGAATTTACTAGATTGAAATCAGTAATTCCGATTCGAATAGAAGTTTATCCCACCATCCCGAAATGCGTTCATGCTAGGATTAAAATTGGACATTAGTACCAAGCGTACCTAAGTATATAATGATTTTTTTTCGCGTGATGAAAAAAGTATAAGACGCAAGAAAAGGAATTTAGTTCAGTTAATTTTGATTTAAATGAAATCTCACCAAAGTGTCCTAACAAGCTAGGCGTTTCTCAGTGCTCTTTCATCAGAATTACTGTGTTGTTACGCATCTTGCAGACAACAGAATATTAAAAAATGTTGGTTTTTTCAAAGCTAAGAACCACCAGTTCAAATAATTTCGATGAAAAGTTCACCAAAGGATGATAAATTCTTCTAGGTTCCCTCATTGGAATTGTTAAGTATTAACGTGGCTGTAGATTTATCATGAAAAGCATTTTGAAATAAAGTAGAAGCTGTCATGATTTCGATCAGAACTTACAGAAACATGCTTTGGTTGGTTTGTGCCCTCTTAAAAACGCTGTGCAAAAATTGTTTGTCAATGAAAGAGTGAAAAGAACCAAGACAGCAATTCACGCGGGCATTATCACGCTCAACACGCAAAGGAGGCAGACTCGTAGAGGGGGCAGAATAGCGGCGGCTTTGCCATTGTTTGAATAAAAAGTGTAATCTTAAAAACAGCCCTGTCCATGGACACATAACACCCTCGGTTTCCTATGGCCGGCTACTAAATTTTCTAATGTCTGAAATTTAAGTAAGACAATGACGACTAAACAAAACACAGAATCTCTAGAATGAAACCAGATGTGACAGAAAAAACCCAAAATTTATCAGACCGTTCTCTGTATCGTCAGACAAAACTAATCTTTTACTTTTGAAAATAAGTGAAATCGAGTGAGCTTTGCACACTTTTCTGGTCTTATTTTATTCTAGATATTGCCTATGAGGAGACATGGATCGTCCTCTCGTCAAACAAAAAGTCATAAAAAAAATATTCTTTGCATGGGATCTGAGTTGAGCTCGGCATTTGAAGAATCGCCACTTTTGTTTCAAGTAGTTTAAAAACCAAAAAAAATGGAATACTACTGATTAAAACTTTCTTTGACAAAATAAAATCAATAAAGCTGGTCTAAACATCTTTTTCCGAAAGAAGGTCCGAAATTCATTTTGTAAGACAATTAGTAATTAATAGAGTGTTAAATCTCACTATGATGTCGCGCCAAGGTTGTCACTTGATGCTTATAAGCTTATTCGCTGCTTTAAGACCGCTAACCACTAGATTGCAAAAGAGGAGAATTCGTGTCCCTCTACAACCATCTAGCAAGAAATGAGTCCTCTTTGAATAAAGAAGTGAAAATTATAACTTACCTACTTGTTCACGGAGACTTTAGTTGATTGACCTCGATTGTAGTATTGACCGTAATATCAAATAAGTTTGAAAAATGCCGGCCCGCACCTTATTTGAAAGCTCAAGACAAAGGAGACTTACGAATTTCCAATACAAGGACACTAAAAAGGGCGTGAAACGCCAAGTCCATTGTTACAAAAAAATAAAAACGGAAGACCGTAAAATTAGTCCTGTCGCGCCCCATAAATCTGTGACATGGCTTAGCAAGGTACATCTCCTTTCCATTCGTGAATAAACGTAATCTGTTGAACCCTGTCTAAGATCTAATCTGCTTCATTCTTTTAATTTCAAGGTCCAGAAAAATTAAAAGGCGAAGGCAACAACCGAAACACCACCAACGAGGTAAGATATCTTTAACTCAAAGTCATTTTTTTCCTCATCACGTTGAAAGTGTGTTTGCTTATTTGTTTGTTTTATCATTAATGGATAGTTATGCTGGAAAACAAAACGTGTCCCTAACACTTAGAACAAGCCAAGACTTGAAAATTCGACAGTCTGAGGAAGGTCATGTCCAAATGGGATGTTAAAAACTAAAAAAAAAAAATTATGGACTTTATCCTATTGGCATAACGGTGTCCTTATCCTCTCTTGCAATTTACCTGAGCAAAGAAGAGAATTAGGAATAATCGATCTATTTGTTGCGTGCGATCCTTCATGAAAAGGTCAAATTTGTGACCTACTAAATTTTAACAAACTGATCAAAAGAAAAATAGCAACAAGATCAAAACATGGGTGTTGTAATTTACTTTAGGAGGATAACACCGGAATAGAAAAGCCCCCGGAAGCCGGGCCACCCGGACCTCCCGGTCCCCCTGGACCACCCGGACCTCCAGGAGAGCCTGGCCCGCAAGGCGGAAAAGGCGATACTGGGGTACAAGGGCCCCGAGGACCACCAGGAATTGGTGCCCCTGGCCCAATGGGTGCTCCAGGGCCCAGGGGTTATAATGGGACTCAAGGACCAATTGGACCTCCAGGTGTTGAAGGCAAACAGGGCCCACCAGGTCCTCAAGGGCCAATGGGGCCCATGGGCTTTAACGGCTCTCGAGGTTTACCTGGGCCAACAGGTTTGGAAGGCCCCAGAGGCCCTCCCGGTGTCAACGCGACGCAAACTGGAGGAGGAGGTATCGCCGGACCACCGGGTCCTCCTGGTCCACAGGGAATTCCTGGGCCTGGAAATATGAGCCTCTGTCAGTACAAGAATAAGAAAGAAGTCGCCCAGACAGCCGGGAATTCAGCTAATTCAAAAGTTATTCTGCGAGAAGATGAACACCCGGTATGAGATAGAATTTGAAATAAGCGTTTCAACAGTTGCATTCATTTTTTTAAGGATATAATTGAATATTATGTTTACACATTACTTAATTTTCCATACTTCAGCGTGTTTTTAAAAATACTGTAGGTAATCAAAGTCAATTATTTTGAAGATTGTAAAGCTGATCCCTGAATTTGTACGAGCATTCTTACTGAAATTCTAGATTTGAGTTTCGTACCGAATCTTGAACTTAAATCAGTAAATTTTTAGTACAAACTAAATCATTATTTCTTTGTTCAGGACGAAACGTACTTATTTTCTAAACTATTTTTTGTCTCAGGGAATGAAGATTGTTGCAGCTACTTGTTCAACGCACAATGCTGCAGAGTACGTCTTTGGTGATGCAAAAATTGACCCCAGAACAGGAACCATTGTGTACAATTGTCATTGTAGAGGAAAATCAGGTCTGTTTAGTGGTGCTAATAGCATGCAGTGTGTTATTCACTACTGGATCTGCCCAATCAATAGTTAAGAAACTACTTTCATAACCAGCACAGTCAAACGGCGTTCCTTCTATAAAATGGAGGACCAACTGTTTCAAAAAGGCACTTTCATACCCCAGTTTTTGAAATCATTACGGCAAAAATTCCTTTCATAGTGACTCCTATGTAGTGTGACAGAGGATCTTTCATTTGATCGAGCATCATCCACAGCAGTTGTTGAATTATATCAGTTACTCTGTCCCAGAGCTCTCAGATTTTTTTATGTGAGATGATATTTAACAACGAATCAGTTCATACAAAGTTCTTAACAATGAACAGCTTATTATCGAAAGTGTGCCCGGTTCTCTTCTTGAGCAGTGTGTGAGAAAATATAGGCAAAATGAGACTGGCGAAAAAAAAAAATTTTTAAATTTTACTTCACAGTAAGATAAACTCTGTCCTCTCGATTGATTTCCTCCCCTTTGAAAACATAAACACTATGTACTGATTTAGATTTCATTTGCTTGAGCTTGGTTATTTTTATAGCCTCTATATCCGAGAAAAAAAAAAGTAATTGACTTTTCAGAGAGGGTCAAAAAAATCAATAGACCAGAAAAAAGTATCCAAGAGTTCGCCAGAATTATTTCCATTCAGTATGAACTAACAGAATTAAGACAGATGTAGATAATTAGACTCTATTGTATTTCACCGTCCAGATCGATTTAAAATGTCATATTACAAGTGCCATCTTAATACTGGCAATAAGAGGGGATTTTAATTGATTGCGTGTATGTTAAACATTATACTCATCGCTTTTTTTCTTTCGCATTGGTATCATATAATTTCACAGTAAATTTATTAGATTTTGGCAATGATTGATCGTTACGGCAAAAGTATGATAAATCAAAACACACTTTGAAATGCCAGTGCCAACAGCAGTCTCATATAATAACATTATTATGGTAAGATTTAATATTACATCTCCACGTATACAGTTCATCAACTGAATTGTAATCGTGAATGATTTTTATAGTTCTACACGAGTCCTTGGTAACTGGAAACATTTCATGAAATGAAACTTACCCGAACAAAATATTACATTTCCATAATTACCAATTCTTGCCCTACTCGCGTCGAATCTCAACTTAATTAGAGATTGATTTAATATTTAAACTTGTGTATGGATTAAAAACATCTGTACTCAGACAGGATGATTCATAACAAGCCTTTTTAATTGTCTATTTGTATTTCAAAACAAACGCTGGCATTTTACGTAATAAAGTGTGGTACTCATGAGTATGCAATTACCCCTTGTTGCAATTTATTTATCATCATAATTCACAATTATCAATTACGGAATCCAAAACGTAGAAACGTAAAGGTTAGGATGCTATATTCTTTACTCTAAGACAACACAGCGGTCAAACGTAAAGCACGCGCGAGGGGGTCAATATTAGGCGGCAGTGCGCTAGTTTCCCACTCAAAGCTACAAAAAAAGGAAAACAGAAGACACAACTGCTGTACAGCAAAAAAGCTAAAGAAAAGGAAAATTAAGGGAAAACACAAAACTTTTCGAACACAACGCTTTTTCAAGTACAGGTATCCTACGGTTGGTTTACCCTTCTGTTTTTATCAAAAAGTTAGACAATTTTAAAACACCGTACGCGTGACGTACTGGCTTGTGTGGTTGATTTTTTGTAACTCTTATGAGGCAACTTGGCTGGTTCTGAAAGCCCGAAAGTACGCCACCGAGTCAGGAAGACGTTTGCACGTGTGTAAACGCTTGATCGCGGAGAATTAACAAAAGAGACAATGTTGATCTCGCTCACATTTGCCCTTTCTTGATTTAAATATGTCCTGAGGGGTTCGGGGTAATTTAGAGACAATTGTCTACCGTAAACCTACCCACACCGATAAATACCTCGCTTCCGATTCTCACCA